TTTTTCCCAACTTTCTGAAATTGCTAATGAATCAAAATATCTGTTATTTGCCTGGATGTACTTATAAAATTTGTGCAAATGACATCAGAAGCTGCACGACTTTCCTGGAAGATGTTATGGTTCAAAACAAGTAGAGCAAAACTTTGAAAACATCATGTTTGTAAAATCTTGTTAAGGGTCATCATAAAATATAGTAAAATGTGCTTGACCCTCACTGATGTAATGAAGAAATTCCAAATGAATTTACCTTTCATAATGACAAAAAGATTAGTACTTAAACTTAAATAGGTCTTTTCATGTCTGGATCTCTGAGTGCTTCATGAAGTTGAATAAGTCTCATTATCCCTATTTTACTTATTAGATGACTGAGGCATAGAGAAGCTAAGTGGTATGGCAGAATCAGGAATAAACTCTACATCTCCTACGCCCCATTTCCATGTCCTATCCCAACGGAACCATCCTACACTCAAAGGAAGTGAAGTTAACAAAATTGAAAACTAACCCATGAAAGTAGGGAGTGCCCTTTGGAACTTCAGACAGATAACTTAACTATTTGACCATCTTTCATTTGTTTGATTTTCTTTTTGTTTTGATTGTTTGTTTCATGTTTTTAAATCTCTTTATTCTATGCTAGCACAATCACATTCACCAGGGAACTAACTGGCTGGCTGAAGCAGGGAACCAATGTTTGAGGAAGTAGGAAAGTGGCCTTTTTAGGATAGGATTTAGTATACTTCCAAAAACTGTATTTCATATTTTGAAATCTTTGCAATGTGACTTTCACAAACATCTTCGAGATGGTCAAAAGCATATTCTGTGCCAGTTATTCACCTGCAAGAAACCTGCAAACTCTTGGTATTTACCTGAACAGATGACACCGGCATCTTCATGATGACCACAGTTATGAGAGAGCCATCCTGAATGAGGACAGTCCCATAGACGGTATTCCCATCCTATGCACCTCACATCATCCAGAACAATATTTCCTGAGCCTTGACCGTAATAGGCACTGGTCTTTGCTGCAACACCAGATCCACATCCAAGTTGCCTGCATACAACATCTGCATCATGGAGATCCCAAAAATCATCACAAACTGTTCCCCATGATCCTTGGTAATAAATTTCAACACGACCTTCACATCTGCTAGATGAATTCACCAGTCTCAATTCCAGCCCTAAAATAGATTCAGTAAAATTATTATTAGCATATTAGTCAGTTCTATTTGCTGGTATCTATCACAGCCACTCCTCTCTGGCCAGCAGGGTAGAATGCATAATGCAATAGGCTCCACCATCTCTCTTTACACCAACTGGGCATTAGAAATTAGTTCTGCCAGTGACTCCTGAACCTGGTGCTACAGGTGCTAAAACTGGGTACTATAGGTGCTGTTTATTGGACTGGCAAACATTGGAAAACAAAGCAATCTAAACAACAAATGCTAAAAAGAGACAATTACCAGGTATCATCGAGCCTGAAGGATGAAGGAGAAGGACGGGGTTAGTGATTTTTTTGCTTTGTTTTTGGCATTGTAACGTTTTACCAAAAATATATAGAAAACAGTGTAACTGTAGTTACCTTAGTGCAAAGAGTAATGAATAGGGTAGCCCAGACACAATGGGTTCCTGAAAGCAGCATAGCACCCTCAAATCACTAACTTCTGGGTGAAAGAGAGGAATGCAACATTTGACCTCACTCCTATCCATGCACATTTTGACCAATATGATTCATAGAAAGTTTTCAGTGCAATTGATGCATCTTTTGATCAGAAGCATTTGAAGGTGCAGATCAAGTTACTTCTGTCATGAAAATTATAATAATGATAACACCACCATTAGACTTTTTTATCAATAGATCTCAAAGCAACTTACCAAAAAGGTAAGTATTTATTGTCCTCATTGTATAGATGGGGAAAATGAGAGACCGAGGGGGAATGTAGTAATTTAAAAAAAAAAATTTAGTGAGCAAGAGAAAAGACTGGATGGAGTTCAGTTAGTAAACTCACTGGACCCAGCTTATTTCTCTTATAGTACAGCTCTACTCTGAAAAGTGATTCCACCCTATTCCATGCTTATTGGCTCATCAATTACCATATCAAACGTACTCAAGTACCACCAGGCTGGAGAGCCCCATTTCTGCAAACATGCTTAATTCTGCTGACAGGAATAGTTTCACTGAGGCCATTGGAATTAGTCACATCAGCCAAGTTAAGCACATACATACGTGTCTGCAAGATTGGCGCCTAAGTGCTTACTTTAAAGTATAAATACCTAAATAAACTACTGCAGTACTACTGTATCCCTATTTAGAAGTGATAGCTGCCAAAAGAAAGAAATAGTTGATATGCAAAAAATGTAGTGCCACGAGCCTGAAGACAGCCTGCAAAAAATACAGAGATTTATCACAATCCTGTACTTATTTTCCTATCCAAGGAATCTGGTGCCATTTATATGGGAATTATTTGTGTATTATAATGAGATAATTGAGAGGACTACAACATACAAATAAAGAAGTAATAGAATTATGAATTACCTGAAGGCAGCCATGCTGTAGTAGTAGTAGTGGGAGCTATTAATACAAAAGGAGAACAATACATAAATTGGCAACATTTTTAATAGTGAGAGAGAGACTTTTAGAGTAATGTGCCAAATTCAAGATAACGCCGATAAAATAATAACCAAATTAAAAGCATAACTGAATGGGTGGAGAAGATAGATGGAGAGAGAGAGAGAGAAAGGATGACAATTAGAATGTGGTAGGTAGACAGGTGGATGGGGAAAGATGGCTAGATAGACATTCATGACACTAGAGAATACAAAGCAGGGACCCATCTTGCAAATAGCACATAACTATATTTCTAGCCAATTGCATTATTCACAAAGCTGATAAAAAGCTAGCTGTCTGCATTTCCTCTGATTACTGTAATGGAGACACTTACTTAAAAGAAGAGGAAGGAGAAAATAGAGTTAAGAAATACGATTGTTAACCCTTTGGAATCCAATCCTGTAAACATGCATGTGAATCCCCACCATTGGAGGTTTTTATGAACAGATTACATGAACATCTATCAGGGATGTTCTCGGTATAGGGAAAAAACTAGATGGCTTCTCGAGGTTCCTTTCAGCCCTACATTTCCAAGAATAATTCTTCCCTGCTAATTAGTACTATAAAAGTCAATATAACTATTCAAATGAATGTTCATGTGGATTAATTATTATTGTTTTTATTGTATTGCTGTAGCTCCTAGGAACCCCAGTCAGAGACCAGACTCCTTTGTGCTAGGGGCTGTTTTACATTTTCAATGACATCTCTCAGTATCACGAGAAGACATTTGCTAAAATGTTTCATTTTCTTGCATGTGCCATGTGGCTCCTGAAATAAATATGTCCTAGGAATGTATTTCTTTTGCTAGGAAGAGGGATATTTATAATTAGAGTTGGGCAAAAGATTTTTGGCAAATAGATTATTAGCATTATGAATGACTCTCTGAATTGCCACTATGAATAGGCAAAGTGTAAGAATGACTCTATAGCAGGGATCGGCAACCTTTGGCACGCGGCTCGCCAGGGAAAGCACCCTGGCGGGCCGGGCCGGTTTGTTTACCTGCCGCGTCCGCAGGTTCAGCCGATCGCGGCTCCCACTTGCTGCGGTGCACCGCTCCAGGCCAATGGGGGCTGCGGGAAACGGCGGCCAGCACATCCCTCGGCCCATGCTGCTTCCCGCAGCCCCCATTGGCCTGAAGTGGCGAACCATGGCCAGTGGGAGCTGCGACCGGCTGAACTTGCGGACGTGGCAGGTAAACAAACCAGCCCGGCCTGCCAGGTGCTTACCCTGGCGAGCTGCGTGCCGATCACTGCTCTATAGGCTGGAGTTCAGACGTTCACTTAGGGCATGGGAGACCCAAATTCAAAGTCCCTGCTCCAATGACTATTTAATTATTTATACAAACTAGAACAGCTGGAACAGGAGAGACTGAGAAAACTCTGTATCAGGACATCTCATAGCTCGGTGGCCCGGGCATGCTTCTGAATCATGGGATACTCAAGGCAGAAAGGAAATTGAACCTGGGCCCAGCTCTATTTGTAATAGTCAAAAGCCTACACTAAGAAAAATGTTTTCTGGGGGTAAAATGCTTCTTTATGTGTGTTTGTACAGTACCCAGCACAATGAGGCCCAGGGCTCTGAGCACTGCAGAAATATAGCTACTAAACAATCACAGTCATTTGACCCTACACTCTGAAGGATCAGAGATGCTTACAGCTGCAAGAACTACTCTGTTGTGAAGTCTCATGTAATGTTTCTTATGGAGCTTTCTGTGCCATTTTACTTTGCTAGAGTAACAGTCAGTCTTCAGAAATCTGATCCACGAGTCAGGGCCGGCTCTGGCTTTTTTGCCGCCCCAGGCAAAAAAGCCTCCGGCCGCCCCCTCCCGCGCGGGGGGGGGCGGCCAGCCGGAGCGGGGGGGGCGGCCGGAGCCCCAGTGGGGGCTCCGCTCTCCCCCCGGTGGCTGGGGGGGAGGGCGCCGGAGGGGAGGGCGGCCGCAGCCCTGGGAGGAGGGCGGCGAGCCCCGGCGGGGGCTCGGCTCTCCCCCCCGGTGGCCAGAGCGCCGGGGGCAGGGCGGCGAGAGGGCGGCGAGCCCCGGCTGGGGCTCGGCTCTCCCCCCGGCGGCCGGGGGGAGGGCGGCCAGAGCGCCGGGGGGAGGGCAGCGAGCCCGGCTGTGGCCCCGCTCTCCCCGGCGGCCGGAGCGCCGCGCCGCCCCCCTCCAGGTGCCGCCCCAGGCACCAGCTTGGGTGCCTGGTGCCTAGAGCCGGCCCTGCCACGAGTAGCTCAGGTTTGCGGAAATTATCAGTGTAGTTTAAAATCTTGTGGTCTATTTTTAAACATTGGGGGCCCTCAAACTCTTTAGCATAGATAATGCCCATCAGTTCATTCATTTCTTTCCTACTATTGTCCCTGGCTCTTTTGCTGATATCTATGAGAGCCACTCTCCTCTGGCCCTCAGGATAGAATGCATAGTGCAACAGGCTCTGCCTTCTCTCTTTACACCAGCTTATATCGGCCAATAACTCCTGCAACTGGTACCCCTGTTTGGGAGCAGTAATGCTGTTGTTTATTGGATTGGGAAGCATTAGCAAAGAGAAATAAAGTGAAACAAAAATGTTAAAAAGAGATAATTACCAGTTGTCGTCGACTCTGAAAGATAAAAGAGAAGGACAGAGGTTAGTGATTTTTTTTTTTTTGGCATGGCAATGTTTTACCAAAATAAATAGAAAACGTTGTAGCTGTAATTATCGTAGTGCCAAATTGGGCAGCAAAGACACAGAGGTCCCTGAAAGCTGTACAGCACCCTGAAGCCACTAAAATCTAGGTATTGAGAGGAATGCAATTTTAGGCCTCAATCCTATCAACACACATGTATAAACACAAGTTGGGAAGTAATTCCATTGACTTGAAACCAATGGATTAAATGTGATTAAAGTTAAGCATGTGCTTAGGTGCTCGACTGGATTGGCGCCTATGGAATTGTTCGTCTTCTGAGAGATCCTTAATATTCAGAAATGTCTAAGGATATTAACTATTAGTTCCATAACTTCCATGTGAGGGAATCTAAATAATGCTCAGGTTATTCTCAAATATTAAGTAGGGCTGAGCATTTTTATAGAAGATACAAACAAAAATATACACGTGGGTTTATTCAGATTACTAATCATTTTATTTATTTGATTCTCACTGAAGTCGGGGACATCTAAAAATGGATTTGAGCAAAGTTTAGTGTGAGCAGGCAATGTGTTTATTTCCATACACTGGCTATCCCAGTCCTGAATTCTGTTGAACTAAGAGTCCTGTGATAGAAAATTGCATGGTGCTTTAATGATGTTGACACCACCAAGCATATTTTGACTTGCAATTTATGCTATATTCTAATGAGTTAAGGACAAGCCACCAAGATCAAATTCACATAAATAAGGTAGCAATTTTAACCAATCAGTGATTCATAGAAAGATTTCACTGCAATAGAAGTACCTTTTCATCACAAACATTTGAAGGTACAGGTCAAGTTACTTCTGTCATGAAAATTATAATATGATAATAACACCACCTAGCTCTTCTATAGCACTTTGAATGAATAGATCTCGAAGCACATTACAGCAAAAGTAAGTATTATTATCCCCATTGTAAGGATGGGGAAAATGAGGGACAGAGAGGGAAAATAGTAATTTTTACAAATTTTTGGTGAGCAAGAGAAAAAGCTGAATGCAGTTTAATTAGTAAACTCACTGGCCCCAGCTTATTTCTCTTAGAGTACTGCTCTGCTCTGAAAAGTTGAGAAGTAAACCAGTGCTGGTTTTTATTTTTTTCCTGATTGTCAGTCATGCATGTCCATTCTGGGTTCTGAGTTCTAAACCCTTTTCTTTCTCTCTCTCTCCCTCGTTTTATCACCATCAGTAATAAAGATGCTGCAGAGGAAATTACACCCTCCGTACCAGCTGTGCAATCTAATTGGCTTCTCTGGTGTTGCACAAATACACTTGTAAGGAATTTAGTAAACAAACCTCTTGATGATGAAGGGTTAACAGGACTAAAATGCAGGAAACATTTATTTTTGTCACTAATGTCAGCACATCTGACTGAACAAACAGGCAATAGATGTTTTGAGTTAGGAGTGCCATTGCACAGTCATTTTTCAAAACACAACTACATGTTAAACATGAAGGTGATTTCCTAATACTATTTAACCTTTGCAGAAAAAATCTTAAATCAGCTCCAGCAGAAGTCTCTACTGCAAAGAGTACAGTGTTATATTAATGTATTTGTGACCAAATACACCCCGGTATTCACACCCTACACACCACTGTAATAAGCTTTGTACAATATATGCCTTGTGAGGTATCATCTGAAAACTCATAATTTCCTGGTCAATAATATCATGGTGAAATCTGTGTAGCAACATTATATGTAAAGTTATCTGAAATGTGTTGACCAGATAAGTCTGGGGAAGTGGTAAACCAGTTTTCCGAAGACAAAGGCCAAGCTAATGCCTCTTGCTATGTGTCATCAAAGTTAACTTGAAATCACCTGTCAAGTGACCATTCTGCAGCAGCTAAGGTGGGCAGGAATTGATGGATTTGGATTTTAACAAACAACAACATGGAACCACTTTCACCATGAGACTCCATGCCTCCATCCTCACAGCCGGAAGGAACTTTATGTAAGGGTAACCCTCAGGAAAATGCATTCCAAGGGTGACTGGATTAGAAAAGTGAGGGGCAAAAACACCATCTCTATCTCTCTCACTTGCTCTTTCACCTAAGAGGACTTTGAGGTCAGATCCCGACTTGAGAAATTGGTCAGCTATTTTGCTGGGAACATGTGGTAAGACATTTACCTTGAACCAAATCTAGTTTGTTAAGTTTTAGTTACAAGAAAGACTTTTATCTTTATTTCTCTTATGGCCATTTCTGTCTTTAATGCTTTATACTTGTATTCACTTAAAGCCTCGCTTTGTAGTTAAATAAACTTGTTTTATTCTTTAATCAAAACTAATCCAGTGTTGTGTTTAAATTGAATTGTTTGACAACTCCAATTAAGGTAGCAAACTCTTGTACATTGACTCCTTTCCAGGGCAATGGACCTCTAATATCTGAACTGTCCAGGAGAGGACTGGGCACAGGGGTGAAAGTAACTTAAATTTCTTACCGGTACGGTCATATCGCAACCCCCCTTCCCACCTCCACTCCTACACACTTAACTTCATGGATCCCTTTGCATGACTTAGATACAGTAGCTGTATACTAGTTTTATTCTAAAATAAGGGTGTGAAAAAACACCACCCACCCTCCCCACAACCAATGCAAGTTTCAGTGCGGTAAAGTTCCACGCTCCCAATGCTGGTAGCTATTCCCCTAGCTGAGGTGGTTTTATTACAGTGCTGGGAGAGCTCTCTCCTGGTGCTGGAGCCGCGACTACACAGCCACATTAAAGCACTGCCGCGGCAACACTTTAAAGTCGACTGTGTAGACATACCGTTTTGTGGATGACTTTCAGCTTCTTCATTTGTTGCTGTTCTTTTTGACTGACAATCCCCCATTTCCTCACTTTTACGTTTAAACATATCCTTTCGGGTCTGCTGAATGTGCATCTTCTTAGGCGGCATTTTTTCCCACTTACTTTCAACTGTAAATTGCATGCCTGACACGAGAGACTTGACCAATAAGAAGCAAGTGGTTACTCTGATGGCACTCAAAAGCTAATATTCGGAAGTGAACATCTTCCACCTGACAAGAAGTAACAACTGAAAACTGAAGGGGAGCATTTTGTTTCTAGAGAATGTAAAATATATTTAATTCAAGTGATAAATCTGATTTTTTTTGTCATTACTACAGATAAACCTAGCCTATTTTACCCATTTGTACTGAATGCTTCGGCCACTTTCTTACCAGTACACCATACCGGCCTGTACTGGCTTACTTTCACCTCTGACTGGGCAGTGCAGAAAACATGTTTTTTGGGGAAATCTAGTGCGTTGGGGTCACCCTGGAAGTAGTTATCAAGGCTGCTGGAAGCCGGAGTGTGACTGGAGTGTCGCTGACAGGCTGCTGGAGTCAGAGCTGCTGGAGTAGGGCTGTGGCTATACACAGACACTCAGGGTGTGACCTGCATACTGTCTGGCTGATGTAGCTCAGGTTGGGAGCTACATCAGCAAGGCATTGTGCAGCACCCCAAGTTGCAGGGCAGGTACTAACACAACCCCTCCCTGGTCTGGATTGCACCTCAGAGTGTGATAGTATCTTAACATACTTTTTGTCATAAGCTATTAGTAAAAAAAACAAAGAAATTGCCAATGGCAAGAATTCCACATTTATAAAAGATCCTGCTCTCTGATTCTTAACTAAAATAGTTATAAGAGAAAAGACAGTACCTGAACAAATGACACTGGCATCTTCACTGTGGCCACAGTTATGTATGCCCCACGCTCTGTGTTGACATTGCCAGAGAAAGCGTTCATTTCCTCTGCATTGCACATCATCCAGGAAAATATTTCCTCTGCCTTGACCAAATCGGGCACTTCCTGGTGCAGAAATGGCCCATCCACATCCAAGCTGCCTGCATACAACTTGAGCATCGTTTATGTCCCATAAATCATCACACACTGTCCCCCAGGTTCCATTGGCATAAATTTCGACACGGCCCTCACATCTGTTCTGGCCATTCACCAGTCTGAGAGCAAAAACATCTTTGAAAGACAGAAAACATCTCGATGAGCATTCACAAAGTGTTTCATGTTGGCATGCTTTCATACATGTTACTGGAATCTGATTTTCCTACCACAGAGGATAGCCCTAATTCCCATTACAGTTAATGAAATATACTTGTGTCCTGCAGAGGAAGAACTGGGCTCCTTCTCTCTTGATAATTGAGAAAATACGACGGATTATATCTCTCTATCACAAACTTTATCGTTGACAAAGAAATGCCTGGGAGAAATTAACTCTCCATTCTATGTCTCTCAAACCACAAGAACATTCCAATGGTACTGAGATTTGTTTTCATAAATATAAATTACCTTAAATTGGCCATTTTCATCTCCATCTTTTATGCATTTATTAATAATTCCCAGGTTTCATCTATAAAATACCCATTTCCCTGAATATTTAAAAATGTAAAAGGAAGAAAAGTAAACTCAAAACCAAAAAAGGAGAAAGAAAGAATAAAAACAAGAGAAAAAGAAAACAAGGAAGTCTCTTGAATTGCACCTATGCCTGCTTAATATCTTCAGCAATGTGTTTTGGGCAGAAATGTCCAAAAACTGAAACAGCCCTGATTGTGGTGTATCAGTTGAGGCAACCTTAATTTAGCAGGCCTTCCCTCAGGCAGCCTTAACAGACCATACCAAATATTATGACCTTCTTCATTTTATCCACATAATGAAAGGTTGCATAGGAAAGGCTCTAACATGCATGCAAGAACGTTTCAGTTTTAAATTAGAGATGGGCCCAAGTCACAGTTTTGACTTGGATCCAAATGTTTCCAAAGGTCAAATATATTTGGATACATGGTTTTGGTTCTGTTCCAGTTCTAATTTTAATATTAATACATTTTTTAAATTCTGGACAGATTTTCTTCAGAAAGCCAGAGTCATGGGTAAACACAAAATACAAAAAAACTACCTGTATGAGTAACTTTTTATTCACACCACTAGTTCCATTGACGTCAATGGTATCTACTTGAATGATTCAAATTATTTGTGTGCAGAAGTATTTGTTTCCTTCTTCTGGGCCCAATTCTTAAACTCTTACTCATGTTGTGTAGGAAATTACCCACTAAGAAGGTCCTCTAAAATCATCGGCTCTTTTTTTCAGAGTATGGCAGTAAGGTACTTCTCCATGTGAGTAAGGATAGCAGAACTGGTCTTTACTAGGAATATAGGTGTGTTCTTAATTTGAGTTAATTTGAGATTAAATCCAAATGAAGACAAGGGAGTTGGAAGTTTTCACATGAGTTAGCAGGTCGAGTTATAGACCATGGGGCAGCCTATGATTTAACTCAACCTGCTCACTCGTGTCAAAACATCAAACTAGGATTTTACCTTGGGTTAGCTAACACAGGCTAAGAACACTAGAAAAATGGTGTGAAGACCCAGCCAATAAGACCTGCAAACCAAACCATGACTGAAATTTCTACTCCCAGCAAGATGTCAATAGGAACACCGAGAATTTTTAACCCCCCTTTCTCATATAACTCAAAAATGGTTGCACATATTTTACTCAAAACTTTCCACACAACACAATTGCTTTGAGGATTCAGACCAAAAAGAATTTGTCTGAGAAAATTATGAGCAATTGGAAAACATGGGAGAGGAATGGGAGAGAAAAATCAATTTCCCCTTCACTATTTGCATTAGCTCTAATTAAAACCTTACTAAACAAATATGTCTGAAGAAATTTTCATTTTGTGAACAGGAAGCAAATTTAATATGTTTTAGTAACTATACTTCACACTTGCACCGTGCTTTTCATTTTTAAATATCGGAGTGCTTTATGTACAGGTACAAAGAATTATATACTTATTTAAAAGACGAAGAAGGAGAAAACAGTGTTAGGAAATATGATGTTTACTCCTTTAGTACCCAATCCTGTAAAGATGCATGCATGTGAATCCACATAATTGGAGGCTTTGAAGAACAGATTAGATGAACATGTCTCAAGGGTGGTCTAGGTATACTTAATTTTGCCTTAGCGCAGAGGGTATAGACTAGAGGGACTCTCGAGGTCCCCTCCAGCCCTACACTTCCAAGAATAACGCTCCTCTCCTGAATAGTTCCATTTAAGTCAATATGGCTATTTCAAATGAATATTCATGTGGATTAATCATTATTGGGGTTTTTTTGTATTGCTGTAGCACCTAGGACCCCCATTCTTAGACCAGGACTCCTTTGTGCTAGGGGCTGTTTAATATTTTAAATGACATCTCTCAGTACCATGAGAAGATGTTGGCTAAAATGTCTGATTTTCTTTCGTGTGTCAGTTGGCTGCTGCAAGAAATTCATCCTAGAAATATATTTCTTTTGTTAAGAAGAGGCCTATTCTAATTAGAGATGGGCAAAAGATTTCTGGAAAATAGTTTATTGTCAATTTATTATTTTGCTAGAATAACAATCAGCCTTCAAAAATCTGATCCAAGAGTCGTGCAGCTTTGTAGAAACTGTGAGAGTACTTTAAAATCTTGTAATCTATTTTTAATCAGGAGGGGGCCCTCAAAATCCTCAACGTACATAATGCCCATCAATTCAGTCATTTCTTTCTTTCACTTGTCCCTGACCCTTTTGCTGGTACCTCTCACAGCCACTCCCCTTTGACCAGCGGGGTAGAATGCATAGTGCAGGAGGCTTTAACATCTCTCTTTACACCAGCTGTGTGGTACAACTTAGTTGTGAACTGACTCCTGAACCTGGTACCCCAGGAGTAGTAATGCTTATTGGATTGGCAAACATTGGAAAAGAGAAAGAGAAGGACAGGGTTAGTGATTTTTTTGTTTTTGGCATCGTAATATTTTACCAAAAATATATAGAAAACAGTGTAATTGTAATTAACTTAGTGCCAAAGAGCAACGAGTAGGGTAGCAAAGACACAATGGGTTCCTGAAAGCAGTATAGCACACTTAAATCATTAACTTCTGGGTGAAGGAGAGGGGTAGAACCTTTGACCTCACTCCAATCCATGCACGTTTTGACCAATATGATTCATAGAAAGTTTTCACTGCAATTGATGCATCTTTTGATCACAAGCATTTGAAGGTGCAGGTCAAGTTACTTCTGTCACGAAAATTATAATAAAACACCACCAAGCTCTTCGATAGCCTTTTTCATCAATAGCTCTCAAAGCAAGTTACCAAAAAGGTAAGTATTATTATCCTCAGTGTATAGATGGGGAAAATGAGAGACAGAGAGGGAAAGTAGTAATTTAAAAAAAAAAAAATTGGTGAGCAAGAGAAAAAGCTGGATGGAGTTCAGTTAGTAAGTTCACTGGCCTCACAGCTTATTTCTCTTATAGTACAGCTTTGCTCTGAAAAGTGATTCCACCCTGTTCCATGTTTATTGTCTCATCAATTCCCATATCAAATGTACTCCAGTACCACCAGGCTGTAGATCCCCGTTTCTGCAAACATATGCACACATGCTTAATTCTGCTGACAGGAATAGTTTCACTGAGGCCATTGGGACCAGTCACGTCAGCCAAGTTAAGCAATACATATGTGTTTGCAGGATTGGGGCCTAAGTGCTTACTTTAAAGTATAAATACCTAAAAAAAGTATTACTGTACTACTGTATCCCTATTTAGAAGTGCTAGCTGCCAAATGAAAGAAAAAGTTGATATTCAAAAAAATGTATTGCCGTCAGCCTGAAGACAGCCTGCAAAAAATACAGAGGTTTATCACCATGCCGTACTTATTTTCCTATCCAAGGAATCTGGTGCCATTTATATGGGAATTATTTGTGTATTATAATGAGATAATTGAGAAGAATACAACATAGAAATAAATAAGTAAAAGAATTATGAATTACCTGAAGGCCACCATGTTGGAGTAGTAGTAGGAGCTATTAATACAAAAGGAGAACAATACATAAATCGGCAACATCTTTAATAGTGAGAGAGAGACTTTTAGAGTAATGTGCCAAATTCAAGATGACGCCAATAAAATCATAACCAAATTAACAGCATAACTGAATGGGTGGAGAAGATAGATGGAGAGAGAGAGGATGAAAATTAGAACGTGGTAGGTAGATAGGTGGATGGAGAGAGATGGCTGTCTGGCTAATCATGACACTAGAGAATACAAAGCAGGGACGCATCTTGAGAATAACACATAACTATATTTCTAGCCAATTGTATAATTCACAAAGCTGATAAAAAGCTAGCTGTCTGCATTTCCTCTGATTACTGTAATGAAGACACTTACTTAAAAGTAGAGGAAGGAGAAAACAGAGTTAAGAAATATGAATGTTAACCCTTTGGGATCCAATCCTGTAAACATGCATGCATGTGAATCCCCACCATTGGAGGTTTTTAAGAACGGATGTTCTTGGTATACTTAATCCTGGTCTTAGCACAGAGGGAAAAAACTAGATGGCTTCTCAAGGTCCCTTCCAGCCTTACATTTCTAAGAATAATTCTCCTTTGCTAACTAGTCCTATATAAGTCAATATGACTATTCTAATGAATATTCATGTGGATTAATTATTATTGTTTTTATTTGTATTGCTGTAGCACCTAGGAGCCCCAGTCAGAGACCAGACTCCTTTGTGCTAGGGGCTGTTTTTCATTTTCAATGACATCTCTCAGTATCACTAGAAGACATTTGCTAAAATGTTTGATTTTCTTGCATGTGCCATGTGGCTCCTGAAATAAATATGTCCTAGGAATGTATTTCTTGTGTTAGGAAAAGGGATATTTATAATTAGAGTTGGGCAAAAGATTTTTGGCAAATAGATTTTTAGCATTACGAATGACTCTCTGAATTGCCACTATGAATGACAATGAATTCATTGGGAGAGGGGCAAAGTTTAAGAATGACTCTATAGGCTGGTGGTTAGGATGTTCACTTAGGGCAATGGCTCTCAACCTTTCCAGATGACTGTAGCCCTTTCTGGAGTCTGATTTGTCTTGCTTACCGCCAAATTACACCTCCCTTAAAAACTACTTGCTTACAAAAAATGAGACATTAAAATAGAAAAGT